TTAAATATTTTCCGCTAAGTAAAATTTATTCCCAGACACTTTTTGACTCATTGATTGAGGCGCTTGAGAGCGACCTATGTGTGAATTCGTAATTCTGTAAATCAAATCACTTAAATAGATTTTGAATCTTAAAATGATTTCATTGTAATGTTAAACGTCACTTTCAAATGACTGTCGATTAAAATTGAAGTATGTACATTCGTACGTAAGTTTAAATTTATCCGATTAAAATGTAACATACGTCGAACCTAATGCAATTTTTCTAAAAAAAATTGTTTTTTTTATATATTTTCTATACAACATGATTTCTTTTATTTCAAACCTTTGAACTGAATATTATATGAATAACCAGGAAAATGAAAGACATAATGGATTGTTCAAAATATGATCACCGGTTAGACAATACAAATATATAATATATTATTATAAGCTTATTTATAAAAAAAGGGTACTTTGTAAAAAAAATTACTCAAATACAACTTCCGTTCCTGGGTTCGTGCACAATGTCGCGCTGCTACCTTATATATATATAGTATGGTATAATTTTTTTTAAATATGTGAGGTTTGGAAATTATCATGGTAGTATATTAATATGTTATGATTTTTCTTAAATGGTACGTATGTACAGTATTTTACACCCTTTACCATACTATTTTGGTATCCATATTACGATACTGATCTTGTAATCCCAATTTTGATTATCCCACACCTTTTAGGTTTAGAGATCAACATGACATGCTCAGCATAGATTTCAAAAATAATATCACCAAAAAACAAGCTTTTTTTGTCTTGACAAGAATTTTCTTGCTAGATTTTAATCTCGATTTACTTGCTTGTTAATTTAAATGATTTTATAACAAATTTGTAAAAGCTTAATTTTTAGATACAAAAGTTCTTTTTATATTTCAATAGATTTACACGCACATTTAAAATAAACAAGTTACATTTTTTAAATTAGTATCTAGTATCACGGAGTTCCTCGGACTACCGTGCACTTTTTGGCTTTGCACACAGACTTTACTCTCTACTTACTCGCTTGGCTAATTTATACAATGACTGGTGTATCGTACCAGATACCACCACCGATAATATACACAGTTGGCAGTTTATTCGCTAAGGTCGTTTTTACACTAAGCAAACTTCTGACATTTTCCCTTTGGGATCGATACCTTATATATTATTAATCACTATCGATTACTATATTGTTCATGCAATCACTATTTTAACTTTTAATTACAAACCCAAATCACGCCATTCATGCAAATCTCAATAATGATACCTAACCCTTGCGCTACGAATTCCCGGGCACCAATTCGATCACGACACTAGGAAAATTTTAAATTATAATTAAGTATGGTATAATTGTTATTTCCGATTGATGAGCTATCATAAATGAGAGAAGAAAATGATACTTTGAGTTTACAATTTTATAATATAATATTTAAAAGACCTGATAGTAATAACGAATTATTTTTTCACGAACTGGAACTGAAAGTCCGATGTTTCATTTTCTCTTGGTAGTGCTCAAATGATTTATATACACTTTGGATTCAGTTCATATATTTCATTATCTTAGTGTGTTATTTTTATTCATTGCATTTTTTTATTTCCAACTAGCTATCCTATTTTATCTCATACTATATGATCTGCGCGTTGTTTCAGTGCGCTATTCTGAAATAAGAGATGATTTACTAAATTCAATACAATTTAATCTTCCATCAATGCACGTTTGTTGGGTAAAAATGCATTTATAAGCATTTATAAAATATTCATTTATGAAGAATAATCTACAAAAAATATACTAGATCGATCATATTGAGAGTACTTTACTTATCATTATAGGGAAAGTGTGTGTGCATATGGAGTATCAATTGCATATCATTTATCGCAACAATAAATTATGTGCTACATTAGGATGTGCGTTAATTCGGAATGCCCATGAGCGCTAATTCGAGACCATATAAGTTATTTTTGAAGGACCAGATTTTCAAAATAACGCCCACGAGCGTTATTTTGTGTTTATACTATATTATAGCAAAATTAGCATCTGGCATTTTCCTCAGTGATAGCATATTGCCATTTAAAAATAAATGACATCTTGTCATATGACAAGTCATTTTGCCATAAAAAAAACATTTATTTTTTTTATGACTATACTTGTCATTTATGGTTTGTATAATTTTTAATAACCAATAAAGATAAATAAACCATCATACCAAATTAGATATTATACAAAGTATGATACTTTCTAATGCGAAGAAAATTTACAGGATAGACACCAACACAGCATTCATATAATGCGACAAAAGTCTACTTAATTAATAATTTATACAACCAATTTTTTTTATTGCTGTATTGATAAGAAAGATAAGTTGTGTACGTAAATGCTGCCATTCAAATTTTTTCTAACCGTGGATAACAATTAATAACGAAGACTATATAATGAATGTAATATTATTGTACTGTATATTAACTTAAAAAGATGTCATTGTGTTGCTTAAATTCATTTTCAAAACAGTCAATTATATAGGACTGCTTCTATCTATGTCAAGTACAATAGTTTACAATTCTACTAATTAAGTACACGTATATATTTTACGCGTCATTTTTCAATTTATGTTAACACAATAGGTTCTTTACAAATAATTGAAAAGTTACACCAACTGGGTATGTTTTTTTTTGAGATATAATATGAATAGCCACTGAGTACAAATCATGCATAGTCAGCACTTTACGGTACCATTTTTATATTTTCATCTCTTGAAAAATGACTTGGGGCAGACTAAGACTAAAATGTAATATACCATTTATAATAATATGTAATTAATATTATTAATGATATTAATAAAGATAATAAATCTAAGCAGTTCTTTCGGTTTCATTTTTTCTAAATTATATTTGAATTGATATTTTTTGTTGTATTCATTATATTTGAATCGGCATTTTTTTTTATTCATTACTAGGTGTTAGCCTATTATTAAATGACGGGTTAAATTTAAACTTTTTTTTACAATATAATTAATTATAATGGACAATTAGTAAATTTTTCCAATATTTTATGAAATAGAAGTGAACAGTCTACTTTTCCTTACATAATACACAATATGTAGAAAGTAGACCAAGCAGCGCGTGAATGAGAATGCATGTGAATTTTAGCTGATCATGAACATCAAGTAATAATCATTCTAACAACTATTTATAATTATTTATTAAATAATCATTCTAACGCACTTTGGACAATTATTATTCTAATAGCTCTTTATAATTAGTGCTAAATAATTATTCTAACAGCTAAGAATTTTACGTTGGATTAGAATGGTTGTATAATATATTAAAAAAATTTCACGAGGAATTTCTCTGTTAAAACATAAAAGACAGCACAGTTTATACCAAATTGTTGTCATATTATACTTAATATAATGTCTTACTATATATCATATAATAGTTGAAGAAAAGTCCATGAAAATAATAAAGATTAGGTTAAAGGTTACTGTTTTTATAATTTATAAATTAACTGTTAAGCTTATGTCTGTTTGCATACGTACAAATATGCCATTTTATTCATTTTCAGCTGATTTTCCTTAGCACGTGGATTACTGGATTATTAACAAAATTGATCAATTCTGACCCATTCCGACCTGGAATTTTGAAATTGGTTCCGCAACTAATCTATTCCGGTTTACGACGGATCGAATTACCTTAAGCACAGATACTTTGACGTGCCCAACTACTAATATTTTAACATTTTCTTGAATTTTTGTTCTTGACAAAAAGATGGCGAATTTTATTATATTAAATTTAGGAATTTTTTAAAGCATAATTTAATGAACCCCTTTTTAAAAAAAGTGATAAGCACTGAAATCACGACTTTCTTTTTACTACTGTATTTTGTAATAAATTCACTTCATCATTCATGGGCGATTAAGCATCTATTTAGAAAAATGATATACAAAAGAGATACAGAAAGAAAATTTTATGTGGCAATAGCATTTGTTATCATTAGAGGTTAGATATCGGGTCTGAATTTATTCGGATATCCGAAAAATTTAATTATCCGGATAATTAGATACGGATAAATGGATACTGATTTATCCGGATTGGAACTCATTAATGAATTTAAGCACGAGAACACGAATGACCTTCAAATAACTGTGTAAGGTTCGGGATTGGCATTCTAAAACTAATACTAAACTAACACTCTATATCGCATTATTTTGGGAAGGATTCACAAAAAAAACATTTAGACTTGGCGAATGGCATGACAGAGTTTCGGAATTGTTTTACTTCCTTGAGACCAACAATACGAGGATATGATTAAGAGATAATTTGTATTTATAATTAAAATAATTACATATTTAAACATTTATGATTGAAAATGCTAATCTCTCTAATAAAACAAATATGGATCCATATTATTTCACCTTCATAGATACCACAATTAACCGATAACTATTCATCGACAAGCTCATTTTACCGACATTCTATTTCACCGAAGCTCATATCACGAAGTGATTGTCGGTGAGTTGATCGAATCCAGTATATGCAAGTACGTTTATACTCAACAGTTAATTACTGTACTCAAAATAAAATTCGAAAATCGAAATTGTTTCATAGTATTCTTTTATCTAAAAAGATCAAGTGATTTTCAGATTTCTAATCATAAATTATATATATATGTATATATCAGTATGTTTAGCTAATTTATCGCAAAAACACTTTCCAATAACCTAAATTCTAAGTGAAAAAAAAAAATGGGATTCTTTGATGATGAAGCGCGAGAAATTTATAATGGAATAGATATTTATGAACTTAATGATATTTTTGAAACTAATGAAGATATTGCTGAGAAATTAAGTAATTCTCTTAAAAAAAAATTGGATACGAATTAATGAGTTTTCCTGTAATAGTTAATTTAAAAAAAATTATCTTTAGGAAATCTCGTACTTAAAGCTCATAAAAAGTTTATTCATGAGAATAAAAAACATATTGGAGATGAAGAAGGTTCATATACTATAATTTTAGTGTATTTATTATAACTAACAATAAGTTGAAATATAAAATTTATCAATTTTCAATGATTATTTCTTGTAGAAGTGGCGATTAATAGAGCTGGAAACGTTAGATTTAGATCTGATATATTAGACATTGAATTGTTCCAACAACTTACTGATATAATGAAAAAATCTGTTCAAGAAAGTAAACATGTTAAAGCTGTTGGATCTTTTGCAGGTTCTAGGTGCTATATATATATATATTTACATGATTAATGCATATAAAAAATCATAACTCGTATTTATAAATAACTTGCCTTTAAAAATAGTAATCTATCAGAAACAAATGGATATCTTCTAAAACCAAATAAAAATGCTTCTGTTACAAAAACAGATTTGAAATTATTAAATGAAGAAGCTATATCTCAAGCACGAAAAGATAATATTGTCTATTATGATGTGAATTGGGGAACTACAATTGCTGAAATTATTCCAGTCTTGAAAAAGGATAATAGGGCTTTATATAATGTCGCTGGATGGATGGGTAAATACGTATGATTATAAAAATTTTTAATTAAACATATTTGTAAGCTGCTTTTAGTAATATAAAAAAAAAATTTTTTTTATTTAAAGGACAGGATATTGTTGGGTAATTATTGATAAAATTAATTTCTCGCTTATTATTAACTTTCTGAAAATATTTTTTTAAACCTGTATTATACGTGTTAAACGAGAAATAATTTGAAATGGTTTAATTTTTAAAAAATTACATATTAAATCGGTCATAATTCATTCCTATATTTTCTTTCTTTTTATAGTATAAATGCAACATCTTCTCATGGTAGTGGCATCACTCTACCACCATTGTGCTCACTTATAGTTTCTTTATTAATGGTTGCTCCAGGTAATGAAAACGTGATCACGTTAGAATTATTACTATTACCATTATTATTATTTTTTTAATAATTCATTTTTAACAAATTTTTTTTTTTCAAAGGAGACAAAATTTATAAAGTAGAACCAACAAAAGGAATCACAAATTCTTCCAAATTTACTCAGAAATTTCCAAATATAACTTTAATCCAAGATGATGAAACATTTAATGCTGCTATAGTAACTGTCGGCGCTCTTGGTGTGACCTATGAGGTGACTATTCGGACAATTCCCTTGTATAACATTATAGAAAGAAGGGAAGAAACTACTTGGACACAAGCCAAATATATTTTAAAACAGAAGCCTTATTCCACAAATCCCTATTTAAAATACCGTAATACAGAAATTTGGATAAACCCATATACAGATTATGCTTTGATTACTCTGAGAAATTTGGCGACAAAAGAAGATGTTAAAAAATATCCAAAGCCCGAGGTCAAAAAACTTTTTCAAGAATTGTTTGAATTACCTATAGTACAAGAGATATCAAAAGTTTTGGCTATTCATGTGGGCGGGGCTTTGTATCTGTTATTGCACCTGTTCCCAAATATAGTACCATTTGCCATTGAAGAAGTTTTGAGATCTCAATATCACAAAGATCCAATTGTTGATAGTTATGAATTAATTTATGATCAAATCGGTTATGGTAGGTTAAGTGAAATTGGTTTTAAAAGACTTTATTAAATTTATTACTAATTTTATTATTATTTATCATTTCAATTTTTTTTTTTTTAAAACAAAAAAGCGTTTGCCAATAATTTTAAAGTAATTCCAGTAGAATTTTCATTCTCAATGAAGGATGATAACTACATATTAGGAACAGAGGCAATTTTGGAAACAATTAAAGAACTTCGAGATAAGTACAATTTAAATGTCAATGGACCAGCTGCGATGAGATTTTCTGCAGCTTCGCCACAATATCTTTCTATGGCTAATGGAAGTAGCGATGAGACCAGAGCATATTTGGAAATGATGATTTTGGTTTATGTGTGTATTATTAAAATTCAAAACTGAGAATCTTTCTTTCTTTCAAATACTTATTTATTTATTTTTTAAAAAAATAGGATGTTTGGATTGATTCTTTTGGTCGTGTATTTGATGCATTGACTGAAACTGCACTGAAATATAATGCAAGATGCCATTGGGGGCTATATTTTTCACCAAAACTTGATCATAAATATCTAATTAAAGCATATGGTGCTCAAAATGTTCATTCATTTATTGAACAAATTAAGAAATTTGATCCAAATGGTATAATGAGTAATACTTTATTAAAAAAGTTAGGATTAACACCCGACGGAAAAGTTACTGAATTTGATTTTTGGGAAACTATTGGTAAAAAGTTTAAAGAAGGGTTAGATGAGTTTACTAAAGTTCTGACAAATTTATAAATTAAATGTTTAGTTTAAGTAATATTGGTTTCAATTTATTAAATTTTGTTCGCATGCATATTTATCATTATTTCTAGATTCTAAACATAATAAAAGTTATAAATAAATACAATGAGTATCCTTTTCAATGTATCGTATAAAATAATGACACTGTGGATTAAACCTAAACCTTCTAATGTCTTCGAACATATGGACAATAAGAGAATAGTGGTTTTAATAAAGCATTATCGATTATAGATTTTTAGATAAAATCAAAATGAATTATAATCTGTATTTGGCAACATTGGAATTAGTACTTTTCACAAAGGTGCAAAACTTACATCGTTAATTAAATTTTGAAAAGTCTATACTTAATTTTTGGAGAATAATAGCACATTTTTTATTTAAATTTTCATAATATAAACAATTTAGTTAATATAATGTCATTAATATTTTACGATTTGGTATATACGTATTTATTTTTCATAATATACGAAAAAAATTATAACCATTTCAAGCTTGCTATACACTCTAGAAAAGGTACTAGATTTATATACAACTATAATCTGGTGAGTAATCGTGATAACTGGAATTAAAATATTTAATTCTCTAAAACACATCTAACCTTTTTTATTATTCCCACACATGCATGTAAAAATATTCCACAAAATTAGACAACATTTACGTAACACAAAAATGTGTTGTAATTATGAGCCAGTCTTCATATTAGGAAAAGTCATAAATAAATAAAATAATTCATAAAATTCTTAAGAAACCAAAATTTTAAAACACTAACAGTAGTAGTTAAACAAAATCAGGACTTTAATAACTCATAAATGAGTATTAAATTTAACTTTAGAAAAATCGTAATTTTACAAAATTGAAGCTTGTTTAAAATTGGCTCTAACAAGTTGAGAAAGTTTTACAGTTTAATTTGACTGACGCTCAAATTTAATAGAAAATACAACTTAAAAGATCTCCTTCCTTATTATGACTTATCTTCCATCTTCCGCTATTATTATTACTCATGCGTAATGAAACTTTCTCTTTACTGTTGAGCAAACTGGGTCGCCATTTTATTGTACACAACTGGGGGCTCATAATTCATAATTATCGGTTTCTCTTGATAAAATATATTTAATATAGAAAATTACTACGAATCACCACTGGTGATTATCACCGGTGTCACGTGCCTAGTATATACAATACGCGTTATACAGAAATAGTTTATTAATAATCCAATTTTTTTTATTCTT